GCCAGCAAGCTTCTTCCTCCTCCCATCTAGATCTATTTGATCACTTTTCGACCAGGTTCAAGATCTTAAGAGATGACATCGCTTCCTTGAGGCAGAGAGACGAGCATTTAGAGCATTCTTGAAGTAGGAGGTATGAGCATATGGAGCGGCAACATGCATAATAGCAATCTTGGCAACACAAGCACGGTGTTGCAATAGCACAAACATTTTCTCGGCACTTAGCAACCAGCCAGGTGCAATTTCCAGAGCCACCAACCTATCAGTTTTATTCGGAGGTTAAACTCTGGTGGAGCTATAGCAAATGACAATAACGACAACGAGGGCGCTGAATATGATATGTCGGCTAAGTTTTGAAGGAGTTTTATGTTTTGTTAGTATTATTTTCTTAGTATTTATTGTATATAAAAATCGAGTATGGGGGAAATTTTTTTATTGTTGAACTTTTCTATGATTTTGGCTTTGACATGTATTATGTTATGTGTAATACATTTTTTTAATGTTTTTTCTTTGCAGAAATGTGATTTGCGTTTGCTATTTATTTGTATCTTGTCCTTTAAAGTAAGATAATAATCAAAATTGTAATGCCTAGGAACTATAAAGCTTATATTTACTCGAGAATAACAATGATTACAGTTAGGATGTAAATTTTAAGTAAAATTAGTTATTTTAAATATGTGAAATTTATATTGATTAAATGATAACTAACGCACTAAAATAATAGGATTATTCTAATTTAAACTTTATAAGTTAACACACCGTATTGACTAAAAATAAATTCAATTCAATAACAATGAAAATTTTCCAACTAATAAAATTACAAGAGAATGAGTATTACCTAAGATATAAACTTAATAATTGATTTTGATAAAGTAAATAATCTTTAGGTGATTGAAGAAGAGAATATTCAAAATTATTAATAAACTTGAACAAATACAGCTTTCCTTATAAAGAAAAAAAAAGAAAATATACAAAAAATTTCAAAGACTGAAAATATTAAAAGAAAGATTTGTTATGAAAAGAGCAAATAAGGAGAGGCTTGAGATCAAATTCAATTAAATTTTGATATTTTATCTTTTTCTTTCATCTAACAAGGATAGGGAATTTGTCATTTGAATTTTATTAGTGATATACTTAGAAGAATAAGATTTAAATTAAGCTTTTATAAATGATTATAAAAATTTCACAGAAAATTATCAATTAAATAGAATTAATCATTTTCACAAAACAATATTTAGAGTTTAAATTGAATAAATTATCAAGATTAGTGAAATATTTGGATAATATAAGCCAATTAAAACTCGCAATAGTTTAAAATTTTTTTATTAAACTTAATTTTATACCTGAGTTCAATATAATAAATTTTCATCCATTAAATAAAATTGAGTTAGTCACAGCCTTTGATACAAGGATTGCTAGACGACAAGTAATGCTCGAGTTTAAGAAATTATTAAATGAGAAAAATGCACAAAAAAAATTTACATTATCTTTTGCCTTTTCAAGTTTTGCTTCATATTTGGCATACATTTATGTGTTTTTATGCAGCAAAGTCCTAAAAGATGAAAATAAGAAGTGGTAAAGATTACTAAGTGTTGCAGTGTCGATCACTAGAGCCTCAACACAATGTAAGCATCCTAAATTATCTTTTCCCGATAGCTCAAAGTCTAGAGGTTGACTATCTAATGCGAAAACACCCAGTACAGCTCCCTAGCATCCCAGCGCCACAATGCTATTGAAGACAGAACGAAAGATCAAAACACAGAGAGCTCAAAGCCTCAAGGCCGCAACACCCAACTACAGAGCCGCGGCGCAACAACCCTAACAGAAAAAACTATATTTACCAAATTTCAAACACTTAGGGGAAGAACATTAGGGAGTGTGGGAATTATTTAAGAAGAGTACTAGAGTGTAAAGAAGGACAATTGTCATTAAAAAGAAGCTAGCAAGTGTGTGTAGTCATATTGTAATGAGTTTGAGTGAGTGTATTGAGAGAAAGCTGCTTGGTTTGGTGAAGCAAAGTGAAAGAGAAGGATAGGAGATGATTTGCTTAGTGATGATTTGCTTTAGTGTGAACTAATAAGTATCTTCAATTAAGGGCCCGTTTGGGGCAACTTATAAGTGAGGGTGGTGTTTTGAAAACACTGCATTGCCATTTGTTTTGCACTTATTAAAAGATTATCTTAAATAATGTTTTACAATTTGTGAATGACGCGGACCGCGGGACGACCCCCGCGGTCCGCGTTTTATGGAATTATTTTTACCTATCCTCCCTTAACCCTCATTCGCTCCCGTGAATTCGCTCCCGTAACATTGCCCTCAGACGCTCGCTCCTCCTCTACGAATCTGGTTAAGGGCAGAAATCTCGCCTCCAACCTTCTGATAATTCCTCCTCTAGATCTCTTCTTCCTCCTTATTCTAACCTACGTATTGGATTGATCGAGGGATAAGGATAGGGTTGATAGCAAATCCCTAATGGCGGTTGTTTCAGCCCTGGCGAAGTACAAACTTGTCTTCTTGGGAGATCAATCCGTCGGGAAGACCAGCATCATTACCCAGTTTATGTATGACAAGTTTGACACCACCTATCAGGTTCTCGATCCCCTGTCCCTTCGATTCTATGTATTGGCTTTTGATCCTATGAATTCCGCGTCGTCTTGTTTATTTGTTGGGGTGTAGAAGGTTAGAGTTTGGATATGCAGTTTCTTTATTGAGATTCGTGAACTGGGTTATCTTTTTTTGAATTAAGACGGGTTGAGATTTCTTAATCTGGGAAACCATAAATAGATGAGATTATCTAGTGAATTTGTTCTCATTTATGGATCTCTTATAGTCTGCGTGATCCAGATCCTCCATGTGACGTACTTTCTTGTTTTACATTTATTAAAATTTTACATTGGCTGATATTTCTAGTGGAATTATAGCGTTATTTATTGCACAATGGAAATGATATATAGAGATATACGTTCTCTCCTTCCAAAATAGTTTTGAATTGTTGTTGTTAATTTTCACATGATTGAGATATCAGAATTTGATGTTGAATTGAGATAATATTGAGTTTCTTATATGAAAATTATTGTGGTTCTCGGCAATCAATAATCTCTTGTAACTTTAAAGGAAATTCTGTATTTTGAAAAATTATAATCTAATGGCGTAATTATTGGCTGAGGCTTCTGTCAATGTGGGCATGTTGAGGGTTATCCATCATTCATTTTACACTTTAGAAAAGGTTCGTCTTATTCAAACCCTGACCTTCAGTTGAACGAAACCTAACAATTGATCCAAACTCACTCTATTGCATGGGAAGTATGGCAAATTTGTCACATTTATCTCCCATTTATAATTGCATTAAGAATGTTGTTTACAAAACACACGAATCAAACAACTATACAGCTTATTCAGAACATGGGCAGATTGGTCATTTATCCAGAATCAGCTATTCTCAAAACGCACTAACCAAACAGCCAGTCATTGAAGCAAAGTGAAAGAGAAGGATAGGAGATGATTTGCTTTAGTGTGAACTAAAAAGTATCTTCAATTAGATTAAGTGAAATCATGCTAATATCGTTCCTGGAATCCAGATTTCAGGGCATTGATTCAACTGAAAACCCATTAGCAGATGTTGTTTAGCAACTTGTAGAAGTGGAACGTAGGAATTTACATCCAACGAATCACCAAGGTACGTTATTAGGCAAAACAGATCTAACAAGGTTCCCTCCTTGTTGGTTGACCCTAGTGGAGAATGAAACAATGAAATACATTTACTACCAAATAAAACTTTGAGGAGATTGAAAGTGATATCTAAAAGTACCACAAGATGTTATTCTGTCAAGCAGAAATGAAAATGAAATGTGGAGGAGAGAGGAAGGAGAGGAGCTTCTTCAAGAGTAAAACCCATTTGGTCTTAACCTTGAAGTAAACAACATCAATGAAAAGTTGTATAACATAGAACATAGAACAGTAAGATGAAGAGGATGGCATACAAGAAACCAATACAAGTGACTAGCTTCCTTTCAAAGTAGGAAGAATTGTGTTGTGATAGGACCAGAGGGAAGGAGAGAGGGGGGGGTGACAACCAACATTACAAGAGAGGAAAAAGTAGAACTAGGTGTCTTCCAGCAAAACCAATGATGACTTCATACAGACAACTTGGTGGTGAACTGCACGTAGTTTGGATTTGAAGGGAGCACATAGCAACCTTGTAGGAACACCTATCGCAAAGAAAGAAAAGCTAGCTAAAAATCAGGAGTAATTTAAACTTGCATTGTATCAATTATCAGGACAAAAAATGACCAAGCCCTAAGATATATAAACGACGAAGAGATTACAAAGAGCTTAGAAACCCTTTTAATAATGACAAATAAGTACAGCCAAAAAAAAGGAACATAGGCAGCCATATTAAAGCAAAAAAATGATGCCCGCAAAATAAAACTATGTGGACAATCTAAGACAGAAAATGCTCTCCCTGATTTACAATCTGTCTGGGGCAACTGCAATTTATTAAAAAACTGTTGTAAAACTGCTGAAAAATAATCTGATGTTCAAAAAGTTGTAATGTCTATTACAATTTTTATTTTTTGAAACTGTCAAACCGCAGGTCATCGAACCTAGCCAGGACCGATGGGGAAACGAAGATTTCAGCGTTTACCCAAACAGACTAAGTTGCGGTGCACCACACCGCTGCTTCAAACGGACCCTTACTTGCATGATTCTCTTCCAAATTTACATGTTACAGTTAAATATTGATGCTTCATCCTCATTTCACTTTGCAAGCTGGGGCAATCCATATATAAAATCTATGTTACCCGGACCATTAGATCATTCCATTAACAACTTACAGTGTGTCAAACTCGACTTCTCAAAAAAACTAAACAAGACCACATATATTCAACAAGAAATCAGGTAGGGAAGGAAAAACAAACTGATAAAAATATGATTTCATTAGTTTATCAGAAACCAAACCTTGAGAAGAAAAAGTAGACAAAAACAGAACGAAATGAACCTGCTGATCAATGTCAGACACGTAGACAGTTCTTCTAATTATCTCTTCTTGTTGAGCCATACTTGTTCGGCTGTTCATTAGCCTCCTTCCCTGGCTGTGATTGTTCTTCCTCTGGAAGAAGAAACTAACAATTAAAAGCGAGAAATATCAAATAACAACTGGTAAAATGCAACATAAAATTTCCAAGACTCTCACCCGCCTACCACCTTTGGCATTGCTACCATTAGGATTACCGTCATTTGCATAGCCCGCATTCGGATAAACAATAGGTAACCCAAAACTGTTAGAGTAAAAACCGGTATCCATGCCACTTCCGCCGCTCCAAATAACCCCGGCTCCAGAGTTCACGTACGATTGCGGCACAAACTCCTCAGCCATCGGATTAAGCTTTGATAGCAGCTCCTCTAGATCTCTCATCTCCCTCTTAAAGCCCTCCTCCTCGTTACCCCTCCGTCCAACATCAGGCAGCTGGACAGCCGCCGCATGCCCAACCCACTGTTGCGGTGGTTGAAAGCCCTTAACATCGAAGCCTGAGAAGGAGGAGCCCTGGTGAGGACGAAGGAATGGCCCTCTAATCCTCGCTGCTCCGAAATGACCCTGCTGCAGCCCCGCCGCTGAAGTAGCGAGGCGATTTTCGTGCTCCTTTGCAGCACCTGCATCGATATCACGACTAAAAGAGGACTCTACCCTCATCCCTCTATCAGAAACGTCTGCGTTATCCACGACTGCCATGATCGAGGCCGATCGGCCCTACTCCTATCGTTACCGACCCTAACAGATGACAGAAAAAGGGGCTAACACTGCCTAGACTACCGATGCCTCCTCTTCCATGGATCGACGAGAATCAGAACGGAGGAATGAAGGAACGGCTGAGAAATTCAACTGTGTGCCCAAACCATGATTCAAATTAAATGCGATGAAGGTGGATTACATTGAATTCTGAGCTTCCGTTAAATCCGATCACTCTGTAATCTCATCGCTCGGTTACGTTGTCGCTTGCTTTGGCACCGTTATGGAGGATGTGGGAGAAGACGAGAAGGTACGAAGGGCTGAAGAAGCTGTACGTTTGCGACTTGCGAGAGTTGAACAGCAGATCGTGCGTGTGGCACGTGTTTTCTTCGCTTCTGATTGGTTATCATTTTTCTTTTGTATATATTTATCTAAAATTAATTTTCTTGGCTAATTTATTTTTTATTTAATGGATGCGGTCATGGTCAGCAGTGACGGTCGCTATCGGTAGAGGCGGCCGCGGCGGACGGAAAGAGGAGGCCTATGGATTGGACTCGTGCCGATTTTGTTAATACAATTTCTCTTCTTCTTTTTTTTTATTTATTTTAAAAAGCGAGCAACAAATGCAATATTTGTAATTTTATATTTGAAAATAATTTTCTTCTTTAATTATGAGGGGATTTACATGAAAAAATACTTTGAACGTCACGAAGACATGTTAGAAAAGTTAAGTGCAGAAAGGTTCAAAGTGAAATCCCAATCTATTTTATTAGATTTCATTTCATGTATACATTATATGTAGTATGTGAGTTCGTTTGGAATGGCGGTACGGTGTTGCACTATAGTTTTATCTGCTTGACAACACTGATTTTAGTATGTCTTTCCAAAAGCTACAGCTGAAAGCTACGTTTTCGTACCAGACCTGATAACTTACGGTGACTGCTATAAAACTATAGTTTTATCTGCTTGACAACACTGATTTTAGTCTGTCTTTCCAAAAATTACAACTGAAAGCTATGTTTTCGTACCAGATCTGGTAACTTGCGGTGACTACTATAAAGCTATAGTCTAACTTCGAAAAAAAATTATAATGGTCATTGTAAATTTTTAAAGAACAATTTCACAATTACTTATTCAAATAGTTGTAGCTGCCCCAAACAGACCCTGTCTATAGAGAGAGAGAAGGAGAGAGTTGGTTATTGTGTTACGGCATCTACAACTTAATTGAATGTGGTTATGTGTGTTATGTGGGATTAGCTGTGATTTGTTGAGCTACAATGTTTAGTGGAAAGGATACCCTTATTATGTTTTATGTGATGTTTGTTGTCAGCTCCCGTAAATTAATAACTCTAATTTGTTCGGTAAGTTATGGCAATGACAGAAAAAATGTATAGTGGGTAAAGACTAAGGATGTTGGCTAGTTGCGAATGTCATGAACTATAATTTGATTGGTTTTGATACAATGTTGAATAAAATGATAAGCCGATTTGATGTGCTTTATTCGTGCGTGAAAAATAGGGGTGTTGGCAAGAGCTAGAGCTAGCAGGGTTGTCCCAATATTGAGCGATGGGTTTTGCTTAGTGGAGTTGAAGGTCGTTGAGAAGTCATTGATGCTAGATTACACAAGTGGTGACAGTGGTGAGAGCCCTATACTCCACTTCAATGAAAGATCTAGCCATGGTAGGTTGTTTCTTGAAGTGCCATGAAATGAGAGTGCTACCAAGAACCACATGATAATCAGATATAGATTTTTTGTTTGTTATGTCTGGAGCTCAATCCAAATCAAAATAAATATGAAGTTAGAGATCATCATATTGGATGGTGTGACCATGGGTGACGGTTCTTTTTTCATATTCTATTAGACGGTTAAAATGAATAAAATGTATATTAAGTGGTTGATGAAGATGTTGACATAGCTTATTCACAAAAAAATGTGATGTTGGGCCTAGTTGTGGTGAGAAATTGGAGGGATCCCAAAAGGTTCCTGTAAAGTTGCATATTTTAATATGTTACGAGATTGTCAATGTTGGAGGATTGCTTGGTTGGAGACGGATTTCAGATAGATTTATATTCAAGCATTTTTGTTCGTTGAAGGAGATCAAAGGCGTAGTTAGATTGAGTAAGGAGCAGATCTCAGGGGTATAATTAATTTGAAATCCTAGAATATTGGAGAGTGGACCGAGATTCTTGAGTTGGAAGGTTGCTCAAAACTGAGTGATGAAATGTCAATGTAATATTGATGGTTAGTTATAATCAAAATGTTGTCAACATAAATTAACATGTAAAGTTGGGTAGTTGTCGTGCGATGGATCATGACAAACGGGTCAATAGTATTGAATTAGAAGTTGACTGTTTGAAATGTAGATGTGAAGGTGTTGTACCATTGGTGAGGAGATTATTTGAAACCGTAAATAACCTTTTTTTAGAAGAAACACATGATCGGGATGTTAATGATCCTTGAATTCAAGTATATATCTCTTTGGGAGAGTTTCATGTATGAAGGCGTTTGAAACATCCAACTAAATGATAAGTTATTTGTGGTATGCATGAAATATAATTAGTGTGTTAATATTTGAGAATTTTGCAATTGAATTGAATGTTTAGTAATAATTGATGACAAATTGCTCATTATCTTGGGTGGCAAAAGGAGCTTTATAACAAGTGATGGTGCCATCAGTGTGGTGTGCTATTTTGCATGTTCGTTGGCATCAAATAATATGTTTATCGGGTGGGAAAGGGACTAGTGTCCACGTGCCTCGAGTGAGGAAGGCTTGGATTCCTTTCGACATTGCTTAATGCCATTAGGTATGCTTCGCAACAATCAAATAGAAGCTTGGTTCTATTTTAATAGCAGTGGTGTATAAAAGATTGATATCAATTTTAAGCTTCAAATTCAAGGGATATCTGAAACGTGAATTTGGATCAGGATTGAGATTTGGTGGCATATGAACCTCATCTTGTGATGCAAAGACTTTTGTTGGGACTGGAAGATGGAGTAGTGGGCTACCTCTAAGATGGAAATAGAGCAATAAAGTTAGGATTATGGGAAGATGCTTAAGCTGGAACCAATGTGAGGTGTGAGGAATAAAGTGAAGAATTGGACATTGAGGGCGAAGCAGGTTAGAGTAAGGTGGTTTGAAATGGGAACGTCGATTCAACATAAGTAAGCATGTCATAATATGTACCCTCGACCTGTAGTAGGAGCACGGCATTTCTAACCTTTCAGGTTGGGAATGTAACGAAAGAATACTTAAGGAATGGAGCGGGCAACCAAATTGTTTGTAATTAAGTGGTGTAGCCTTGGATTCCATAGATAGCCTAGAAGTTTAAGGTGAAGATATGATGGTTGCTTGTTGTGAAGCATGGAACGTGTGGATTTTTATTGTATTGTAGGAGAAGGAAGGAGATTAATAAGATAAGTTGTGAGAACAATGTCAAGCAAAGGGTAATCCTGTAAATTGGCGGTAGATTTGAGAGCTCAAAAAACTTTGAGAATATGGGAATTTTTGTGCTCGGCCAGATCATTTTATTCTAAAGTGCATGGACAATTGTATTGGTGTGAGATGCCATGACCGGTGAGGTGCGTCTGAAGTTTATACTTAAATATTTGGTGTCATTATCAGTGCATAAAATTCTAATTTGTTGCTAAAATTTGCGCTCAAATAGATTTTTTAAGTCAATAAATAGTTAAATTGCATATGATTTTTATCTCATGGGATAAAACCAATTGAAATGACTTGTCATTAATAAAAGTGATATAAACAAGCCCCATACATGTGGATATATTAAAGCTAATAAGAAAAATTGAGCAAATAAGAACAAAAAAAAAATAAATAATGAGATTTTTTTATGTATTCAATCATTGCAGTAGGTTTCTATAGGTTGAATGCATAAGAGAGAACTACTATTGGCAATGTGCTAGAGAGTGGAGTGTTGAGGATGGTTGAGACATTAATGTGAGAGTTGTAGCAGAGATAGGACTTGTTATGGTTATTTTGGCACTGATTATAGGTTGGACGGAGAAAGTTCAATATGAAAGTAAAGTTCATTACATAAATGCATAAGAATTGGGTGCTACGTTCCTAGGAAAAAAAGAAGTTACATCGAACCAATTGTAAGTTCATTATGTAGGTAGAAGTTAGTCAGATCCCGTGATTTTCCCATTTCTATGATTTTTTACGTAAAAAATCAAGGTATACCCTCCTACTTACTTCTCTTTTTTCCCCTTTATAGGACATTCACTCAATGTTAAGATGTTAATTATTACTCCATAACATCAATAAGATTTGTGTTATGAATGTAAAATTCTAATATAACTAACCTAAGTGAATAGAATTACTATGAAGAAAGGAAAAAAAGTAAAATGGCTCTTAAGCACATACCACAAAATTCTTATATATTACTTATTTTGCGCCTAATTTTTTATATTTATATTTATAATATTTAAAATTTTAACATCACATAAAAATACCATTATTATCATTCTGAAAGTGAAATATATATTTTCATACAGAGATCAAGACACAAACGTGTTATTAAATATTAAAATTTAAGTGTAAGGTGTGTAAATACGAAAAATTATTGCATACATACACTGCATACAGAGATGCTGCATACATACACTGCATGCAGAGATGCATGCGGTATCCGATCCTGATGAAATCAAAATTAAAAAAAAAAAATTTTTAAATGGGGCCCACCGAAACATCCTGACCGTAGATCACCGTGATCTACTGTCAGGATCGGACACCGCATACATTTGTGCATACGGTGTATGTATAAAATAATTTTTCGTAAATACATAAACATAGTGTGGCATCTATGTAAATTTTCCAAAAAGAATTAGAGAAAGTCAAACCTTAGCTTGCTTTGCATTTTGCCCAGGGCTGCTTTCTTCGTTGGAAAAACATGGGCTCCAAGGAAAATATTATTAAAATAAAAATATTTTCTTGCATGAACATTTTGAACAGAAATCTTGGCTATTGCTTGCATGAAAGTCAGTATTTTGCTCGGCTGAACATATCATATTTAAGAATTAATAAAATTATTTAAATTAGGTGAACGCATGACAAATCAATCTAAGAATTTTATTATAACCTTAAATAATTCTAAAATTTAGAAAAATTGAATCAAAGTCAATGTATCAGAACTAAATTGTTTCTAGAAGTGCAGCAATAAATAATAAATAATTCTAATTCGAAAAATAAGTCCCCATGCCAGGAGAAAATATTTCGTCCGGACATACACGTCAGCGGCGGACAACCTGGCCTCCGGTGGTTGGCTGTCCAGACGAAATATTTATTTTCATGCCAGTCAGATAAAAGAGAACTTCATTCGTTATTATTGTCTAAAAAA